GTTTCTGCCTGGTAGCAAGGGGGTGGGGGGAGAAGGAGGGGGCGCAGGAAAAGGAGGGGGAGGGGGGGAGGGGGAGAAATGATCCAAACATTGTATGCACATATGAATAAAAGAAATAAAAAGTAAAACACCTGAGATAAACAACTTATGAAGAGAAAGGGTCTATTTCGAGCTCACAGTTTTGAAAGTCCTGGACCATAATCAGTCAGTCCTATTGCTTTTGGACCTGAGGCAAGGCAATACATCATGGCAGGGAGCATGTGGTAAGCAAAGCTGCCCAGCTATGAGCTGAGAGAGAGAGAGAGAGGTGGGGTTCCAGCACTCCCACTGAGGGCACTCACCTACTAACTAGAAGACCTCCTACTAGGTCCCCACCTCTTAAAGGTTCCACCACCTTCTAATAGTGTCAAGACAGGGACCAAGCTTTTAACACATGGATCTTTGGGGGACATTCCAGATCCAACTACATCATCCCCCATTTATTGAGACCACCCAAGCATATGAGTCAAGAACTTGGTCACCTGACCTCCCTCTGTCTAGAAAGTCCTATGTCCCTATAGCCCCCACTTACCCACCTTCTCAAAAAAAGACCTTCCTCCCACAGCAATCCCATTACCCTCTCCCTGCCAGGCATCATGTCCTTGTGACCATCCTTATAACATTTATCACTGTCTACAATTGTCTTGCTCATTTACTTGCTTTTTAGAATGAAAGCAGGAAAGTGTTTGGCTCATCATTTTAGCCCCAGTGTCAGTAGATACCAACTAGAATGTGTTCCTGAAGGTGGAGACTTGCCATCTGAAATGCAATTTGAAGTAACCATGTGACCGTTAACCCCACAACTGCCCCTCAGGGCAGGCAGTCGCACCTGCCTTCTTGCTTCCCTGGTTCTGCAAGGGATAGTCAACATCTCTTCCTGGCCAAGCCCAGGTGACAGACACAAAGTCCCCCTGGTTAATTTAAGAAAGTGATTGATCAGGAATGTAATGTATCTCTTCCATTTCTGACACAACTTGGACACTTCAAAGTAGTCTTTTTAAAACTAGAATAGTTTTAACAGTCTTACTTTATTTACGTATTTATTTATTTTTGCTTTTCCATATAAACTGGTCCAGCTGTTGTTTTTCAGTATGACTTCTTCTCCAGCTAATTCTTGGCCAAAGAGTAGCGTCATGTGGAAGACGTGTGTGTGTCCATCTGTGTGAGGCATTGGTCCTGCTCTGGCAGTCAGCATCTCTCTGTGTCACACACTTGGAGAGATATATGTCCTCTGTCTAAGATGACACGTGTTTCTCTTTTGGTGTCCAGAGGGCTGGCTGCCCAAGCATTTTTCTTGGAGGCTGTAGCCAGGTAGCTAAGAGAAAGATAGCTTCCCTCTTTTGAGGTATGATTGACCTGCTGTTCAATTGTGAGCCATTTCTCTTTAGCCCTGGGCTCTTTACCTGGTGTCCTAGCAGACCGTGGGGAGCAAGCGAGGTATTTGTTCCTCCTTTGGTATCTCAGCTGCTCACCGCACCCTCTGCCATTCTGTGTTTGCAGTGGGAAGCCGACAGAAGGGAGAGCATTCAGTCAGAGTTGCTGGCAAAGAGAAATGTGTCTATTTCTTCTGGCAAGGCCGGCACTCGACTGTAAGTGAGAAGGGCACATCAGCTCTGATGACAGTGGAGCTGGATGAGGAAAGGGGGGCACAGGTAAGTCTGGGTAGCTGCTGCAGGGGGCTCCCAACAGCACATGGCCTGGTCCCTAAGGACTGATTCTAACACAGAAAGACAACATCTTCCAGAGCCTGGCTTCTGCAGCTGTCAGGCTCTGCCTCACATCTCATCTCCCCATCCATTGTATATGATCTGAGACAAAATGTTGTGTCTCCAAGTGGTAAATCCACAAAGCAAGTGCAAGTCACAAGTGTTTCTGAAAGCTTCCATGGAACTGGCAATCAAGGAATTCCACAATCTAAAATTATAGTCATTTTGTTCACTTATTACCCGTGGTCCCCACTGACCAAGAAAGAGACCATGTCTCTCCTGGTCTTCTAGCCCCCAGGCTTGTGTGATGCCTTGCAAGTTACTACATACAGTCCAAAGCCAAGGTCTTATGAACATTTCTTTTTAATGTTTAGATGATCTGTGCCACATGTCTCAGTACTGGCATTTTTGGAAAACATAGCACTGTATGCACATATTTTTCTCATCTTGGGTGAGGGTTAACAGCAGCACAAGGGAAGAAAGCAGACATTTCTTCTCCAGAAACAGAGTCATACTCACTCAGCCTTCCACAGTCCTTAGAATCAATCATCTCCCCTTTAAAAAAATCATAATGCATATTTTCTAGTATGGGTCATATTTTAGAAATAGTTGTTAACAATAGCTACATTTTAATTTATTCCTACTATTGGGTAATTTCAACTGTCTTTTTTTTTTTTAAGGGTGTGAATGTATGTGCTTTAATCACGCCTTCCAAAGCATTGTTAGAGCCTTAAGTGTTAATGACTCTAGTTTAAGCATTTCATTTTTTGTCAATCCAATGAATGGAAAATCATTGTAGACATAAGAAAGACTGCCATAAAATGGCACTCAGTTGGGCAGAACAGGCCCCAAGGTTGAAGAGTTGACCCATGGAGAGAAACACTTCCTACCTTTCAGTGTTCCCAGTCGTCAGCTCAACAAAACTTCTCTTTAAGGGAAAATGTCCTGCAGAGTGAAAGTGAGTTGACTTCACCTTAGCCTTATTTATGGTACAGTCTTCACTTGAGGAGAGAGAAGCATGAACAGGCAGGGAAGGCTCTGAAAGCAGACTGCTGGATGGTGTCATGGTAGTCAGTCTTCTGTTACTGTAGCAAAAACTGAGTCAACTAACTTAAAAAGAGAAAAGGTTTGTTTTGGTTTCAGAGATTTCATCCACAATTATTTGGCGTTACAGCTTTTAGGCAGCCATAGTGGGAGCACATGGAGGACTCACCTCATAGACAGGAAATGAAAGAAAGGAAGAGGAAGGGGCTGGAGTCTGATAATCCCTTTCAAGTACCCCTCTCCCCCCGCCAGTGACCTAAAGACTTCCTGCTAGGCCCTCCCTCTTTAAGCTTCTACAACTTCTTAATTGCACCATGTTGGAGACCAAACTCCAAAACACAAACCTTTACAAAACATTTAAAATTCAAACCTACAGCCAGTGATTGCAAAGGACACATCCCCCCCAAATTACTAAGGCAGTGATTTGTCATTCCCATTGCTGACGTGCACTCTACAAAACTATATTTAATCAGTCATGTCTTACCTATACCCCAGAATGCATTAAAAGATCAAATCCATGTTCCAAAAGAATATTTAATGGCAGAAAAGTAGTAAGTAAGGAGAATAAAAGTGTAAGATAACAGAAAATAACACGCCTGTTTTCATTTAGTAGAAAATATGTGCCTGGAAAAAGTGAAAGAAGGGCACACACTAGAATTTTAATCGTGCTTAGCTTTAGATCACAGGATTGTCACTGTGTCTATTGCTTGACGTTTTTCAGGTTTTCATGACCTTGAAGACCCTTCCCTGTAACCTGTGTTTCTGTCCTTAAATTCATAGGTCCAGGTTCTGCAGGGAAAGGAGCCCCCCTGTTTCTTGCAATGTTTCCAGGGGGGGATGGTGGTACACTCTGGGCGACGGGAAGAAGAAGAGGAAAATACACAGAGTAAGTCACTTTTGTTTTGTTTTTGCTTTTTTGTTTTGTTTTGTTTGCAGTGTTGAGGATCAAACCTGGGGGCTTGTACATGCTATATAAGTGCTCTACCACTGAGCTACTTACTACTGGAGTTCTATTTTTGTTTTCTTCTGGAAGGTGTTTTTATAGGTAAGGGGGCTTAAAGTAAGTCTGTCTTCCTATACCTATGGTTTTACCGCTGAAAGCCTCCTAATGTTTGCCTGATAAGTCAGCTTTATGTGGCGCTCATAACCCTCCCTAACGCCCATGGAATTTCCTTCCTGACCTCTTTGTGTGCTGTAGGCTAGAGGATTTCCTGTCTGGATTCTCATGGGGACGCTGCCTATGATTTTTAGAAAAATACAAGAAATCAATGGATCTTCTATCAAAAATTATAATCTTTTTTTGGCCAGCATCCAAAAACATTTAATGTTAGAACCTTATGTCTTATTTTATAAATGTTGGGAAAATGGCGTTTCTGCATTGTGAACTTTTGGTGACCTGCTTCTAACTCTAAAAGGGTTTGCTTTCTGGGAACAGCAGGTGCTGTCATTGCTCAGCTTGACTTTGGGCTGCAGCTCCCCTGTCTCCCCAGGCCTCTGAAGTCCCTACAGTGTTGTGGCTGCCTGTGACTGCACAGCCAGGACCCAAAGGCAGCTCTTCCTGTCCCTGGCTTGGGTGCTAACTGTGCTGCTGATGTACCCTGCAGGCGAGTGGAGGCTGTACTGTGTGCGAGGAGAAGTGCCCATGGAAGGGAATTTGCTGGAGGTGGCCTGTCACTGCAGCAGTCTGAGGTCCCGGACTTCCATGGTGGTTCTTAACGTAAACAAGGCCCTCATTTACCTGTGGCACGGATGCAAAGCTCAAGCCCACACGAAGGAGGTTGGAAGAACCGCAGCAAATAAAATCAAAGAACAGTGAGTGCTGTGTCTGTGAGGTGCTGTCTATAAGAAGGGCTGCCAGAGGGGTGCGAGCAGGCTAGGACAGGAAGGGACCCCAACAGTGAGTGCTGTGTCTGTGAGGTGCTGTCTATAAGAAGGGCTGCCAGAGGGGTGCGAGCAGGCTAGGACAGGAAGGGACCCCCTTGAGTGCCCTGTGTGCTTAAGGTGATATCAACGAGGGTTGATTTTGAATGTGGTCCAGAACCTCTTACATTCCAAGGAGACAGAACACATCTTAGCCAAGGCCTCCAATTCGAGGACCTCCCCATTTTCTGAGGATTGACCTGCCTCAATAAAAGTAGCATTGAGCCAGGTATAATGATGCATTCTTGAAGTCCTAGCTACTCAGGAGTCTGAGGCAGGAGGATAGCTTGAGCCTAGGAGTTAAAGGTCAGCCTGGACAACACTGTGAGAGACACTAATCTCAAAATTTAAAAAAAAAAAAGCAAGTGGGGTGTGCTGGCTCATGCCTCTATTCCCAGCTAATCAGGAGGTAGCAATCTGGAAAATCACAGTTCAAGGCCAGCCCAGGCCAAAAAAAAAAAAAAAAAGTTAGCAATACCCTATCTCAAAGAACAAGACAGAAATGTTGGTATGTGCCTGTAATCCCAACTATGGGGGAGGTAGAGGTAGGAGTCTCACAGTCTGATGCTAGCCTGGGAAAAAGCACATGATCCTATCTGAAGAAATAACTAAAGCAAAAAGGGCTAAGGGCGTAGCTCAAATGGTAGAGAGCTTGCCTAGCAAGTGTAAAGCCCTGAGTTCAAACCCCAGTACCATCAAAAAATAAAAATAGGAAGGAGGAGAAGGGTCAGAAATAGTAGGAGGCAACCTTAGGAGCAAGGGAGGTGACCCGAGCATGCGTGTTAGCTTCTTACTCAGAGGTGCCCCTCAGCATTTGGATTAGAAGCCTGGAATCCTTTCACATTTAGAGAGCAAATGCCAAGTATCTTTGAGGAATTCCAAGTTTTGGCTTTGTGTGAGTGTCAGAGTGGGCAAAGCAAAGGTGGATTTGGGGAAGGCTAGATCATGTCTCCATTCTCGTGGCAGCCAACAGCAAATTCCTGCACTCGGTGCCAGGTCTGCTTCCTCTTTCAGTCACAGCCACTCAGAGGTCACTGCACTATGGTAGACCGTTGAGAGATGACCTTGGAAGAAGTAACATGGGAGTGGGGTGAGGGAGAGAGGACTGGGGACTTGGTCCCCTGCCTGAGGGAGCTGCACTGCGGCTCTGCAGTGCTGGCAGTCACGCACACAGGCATTGAAAGCAGCCGTGGATCTCCCTGCGAGGACCACAGGGCCTCCCGACAACAGAAACTGAGTTTCCAAGGCTTCCACATGCCACCAACATGCAATTTGGGCTAGCACATCCTTTAGGCACCAAAAGTGGGCGATGGGACCCACTTTCCTCCTGACTGCACTGTGGAAAGGGCAGAGAGAGAAGGGAGGCAAGTGACCTTCCACAGGCAACAGATGGAGACAATCTCAGAACAGTGTTGTGTGGGCTGCAAAGCAGGGCCCTAAAGGATGCTCAGTGCAGTGTCCTAGGCCATCCGTGCCACTGGGGTTTTCACAAAGAGCAAAGCAAATAGAGCATCCATTCACTTATTCATTCGACAAGCGCGTTTACTGAGCACCAATTTGGCACCAAGCACAGATTTAGGGCCTGGGGACTTGGCAATGAATAAACCAAGTCTTTGTCCTCATGAAGTTTGTGTTCTATTTGGAGAAAAGAACAAGAAGTAGTAAAAATGTTGTGTTATATATAAAAACGTGCACTGTTTCACCACACAGAATGTAATTGTTCACCACTCCCGAGGGACAAGCCAACTCCTCTTCTTTCAACACAAAGCTTCCTAAACTATAAAATATGTTTTCATTCCTTAATGAGAATTACTTTTAGCTAGAAAGGAAGGAGAGATGGAGAAGTGGCGTGGAGATTTAGTCTTGAATAATTTTGCTCTGCCGACCGTTCCCGGGCTTGTAAAACACGACTGGTGTTGTCCCCCTCAGGTGTCCTCTGGAAGCAGGATTACACAGCAGCAGCAATGTGACGATACACGAGTGTGACGAGGGATCCGAGCCTCTGGGGTTCTGGGATGCGTTAGGAAGGAGAGACAGGAAAGCCTACGACTGCATGCTCCAAGGTAATGCGACACTCCCACTCTGTAACCTTCCATTGTTGTCTTAAAAATCCACTCACTAATTTATCTAGTAAAGATTTATTCAGCATGTCACACAGTGAACAAAACCTAAGATAGGTCTTCCCAAGACTCCATCCCAATGAGGACGCCAAGTACTGTCCGGTGTATGACTACTTATTATACAAAATAAAAGTTATGAGTCATAAAAGGAATAGAGGAGAAAGTCAGGTGTGGTGGTATACGCCTGTAATCCCAGCACTCAGAAGGCTGAGGGAGGACGATTAAGAATTCAAAGCCAGCTGGGCTATATGGTGAGAGCCTGTCTCAAAAAAAAAAAAAGGGGGGGAAGAGAGAAAGATACAGGGTGAGGACATTGAACATGGAAAAGGATTTCTTCCACACACACCTCTTTAGAAATGATAATTACATAGGGCCTTGGAGGTTGGTATGACTTGAAAAGGACAGGAGAAAATTCTGGAAAACTGGATGAGTAACAACACAATGTGAACCCCTGGAGCAAGGTGCTGCTCGGTTTGACTAGCAGCCAGGGCACAGGGAAGTAGTGGGTGTCCTAGGGAGAGGACGGGTCCAAGCCAGATCAGGAAGGGTCTGGAACTCAAGGCCAGAAGTCCTGGACCAGAGTCTGAACTTGCCATTCACAGGAGTCAGAGGTGGAAGGGCATGTGGGGCAGTGGTGACACCCAGTGCATACTTAGGAGATTCCTAAGGAGTAGCTGGACATGTGAAAATTGCCTGCCACCTGTTGTTAGGTGACTTTTAGGGCCTAAAATTGACAGATAGAGATGGTCACTGAGTGACATGCCATGAGCCTGCCATAAGGGGGCATGTGGGAGGAGGAAGTTCGGGAACCCAGTGCTTCAGGCTGGTAGTTCTTAACCTTCCAGGGATTGGCAGATCTCAGGGTGAAAGCCAGGGGCACGATTCTCAGAAAAAAACAGAGTGAAATACACATGTACTATATCGGTTGTGGTTTCAGGGATTTTACATTCCGGATGCTAAAACTCACCATTTAAGAGGCAGTGGTCAAAGACAGAATATGTGGGATATGGAAGAACAAGGTCAATGAAATGTCACAGATACATCAGAAAAAGGGGACAGTCACCCTGCCAATGGCACAGATCTCAGGGACTAGGATGACAAAAAATAGCCTTTCTTGCTGGTGAGTCGTTTATCAGAGACCTTCACCAGCCAGTGGCAAGAGGTGAGACTGTGGGGTGAGGTGAGGAGGAAGCCAGTGTAGAGAGGGAGAGATTGAATAGTGAGAGGAAGGAAAACACTGCACAGCTTGACTGTGCACAGCATTTTCCTCTTGGAAATGCTTGGGTCTGGAAGTATTTGGGATATGAAGGTGTGTTTTTGGAATTTTGAAATACTTACATATACACAATGAGCTATCTTGGGGAATGGGACTCAAGTCTAAACACGAAATATATTCGTTTATATGCACCTCGTCTACATAGCTGGAAAGTAATTATATGCAATATTTTTAGTATGTCTGCATTTTGACTGAGACCCATCACCTGAGGTTAAGTGTGAAATTTTCCACTTACAGTACCATGTATCAGACAGTATCAGAAAGTTATGGAATTTGAAGTGCTTTGATTAGGTACACTCAGCCTTAAGTAGGAGGGGATCAAAGCCAAGAGGAAGGCATTCAGGCCCTAGATAACGTAATGTATTGCCTATCATTGATGCCTTGATGCTTGGATGGAGCAGAAGAACCTAACTGAGAAGAGGGATTGAGATGCAGACATGGAGGTTTAAAGGGGGAAGTTCCACGAGGGGTGGAGATCAAGGGCACAGGAGAAACCTTGGAGAGAGGATCACGTCTGTGTTGTTTATCAACTACCTCCTATGTGCTCAACTATATGTTGGATGTTGCAAACTGAGCCTGTGACAATGTCCACTGTCAGCTAGAGATAACAAATGCATCCCGTGGATTGAGAGGGGGAGCTGCTCCCAGTGCCCCCTTCATTATTTTCTGTCCCCAGTCAATCAAAGCTTTCCTTACCCCCGAAGTACTTAAATCTAACATGTTTTTCCTTGGTTCTGTATGTCATATTTTATCTTAATTTTTCAGTCCATCTGGAGTTTAACTTGATGAGTGATGCATCCAACTGATGGACCAGTTTTCTCATCGCGGTGAAAGTAGGGTCACCAAAATTCAGGTTCCCACTGATAATTCAGCTCACAGGCCCTTGTGGGGAGAGACCTTCTCCCAGGATTTTAGGGACTCCACTTGACTGAGATCACCATTTTATTATCTTCCCTGAGAAAGGAGCAGTCCTCTGAGGTTGGGGAAGAAGTCTGGGAAGGCAGCAGATCCCTCTCATCCCCTATCCAGAGCCCTTCCTAGTCATTGCCCCGGTTTGGAAAGATGGTGGCCACTACGGTATAGAATAGCCATCCCTATTCAGTTAGGTGTGTAAGTGTGTGACTTAGATTATCAACATGAGGAGCAAAGCAAACTTGTATTAAGCAGCTTTCATGACCCAGACACATTTAAACACATACACACACATATATACATGTAACTATATGTATATATGAACACACATATGTGTGTGAATATATATGTGCATATATATAATACAGTCCACCCAACACTACCGTTTTTACAAATGAGGAAACTGAGGCATAGAAAAGCCAATCATTGTGCCAAGTTTGGACAGCAATGGCCTGTCCTCTCAGCCTGTCCATTATCCTCCGCCTCTCACTCTTTATCAACTTTCACCTACCTCTTTATACATGCTGCCTAAGGATGGCAGAAACTATTTGAAATCACAGAGGCTATTAACGAATCACTGTACTATAAACAGTTTCCATTTTGGTATTGCGTTCTCATTATTAAAAATATTTTTGTACTGTAGCCATATACCAACAGCTCACACCTGTAATCCTAGCTTCATAGAAGGCTGAGATTGGGAGGATTGTGGTGTGAGGCCAGTCCAAGCAAAAAGTTAGCCAACCTCCATCTCAATCAATAGCTATGCACAGTGACACACACCTACCATCCCAGCGATGGTGGCGGGAAGCCTAAAATAGGAGGATCTCATTCCAGGCTGGCCTGGACAAAAAAGCAAGACCCCATCTCCAAAATAACCAGTGCAAAGAGGGCTGGAGGAGGCACGGCTCTAGTGCTAGAGCCCCTGGCTCGCAAGTGTGAAGCTCTGAGTTCACACACCAGTACCACCAAAAAATATTGACAGTTTTTCATTTTTGTATAATTAATGCACAAGCCTCTTCCCTTTTTCCAGCTGCAGTTATAAAGGCGTTCTCCAGGCTGGAGATACAGCTCAGCAGTAGAGCGCTAGCCTAGCATGCATAAGGCCTGGGGTTCCATCCCCAGCACACAAAAGAGGAAGAGGGGCTTCCTCACCTTCAAGCCAGATAAATCTGACCCTTGAGCCTCTGATTCTCTGTATTATTTCCTGCTTTACCTTCGGTCCTTCTGGGATTTGGTCCATGTGGTGTCTTTAGCTTTGTTCTCTTTTCTTTCCAAGATCCCGGCAGTTTTAACTTCGCACCCCGCCTGTTCATCCTGAGCAGCTCTTCTGGAGACTTCTCAGCCACGGAGTTCGTGTATCCCGCCCGCGCCCCCTCGGTGGTCAGCTCCATGCCCTTCCTGCAGGAGGACCTATACAGCGCTCCGCAGCCAGGTGAGGCCAGCACGTTCCACAAAGCCTTTCTACTTTATGTCAGCCCACTGCCAGAACCCTTGCTTCTGTTTCCTTATTAATCCTCCACTTACCCCAAAAGGAAAGGGAGTGAAGTCAACACCATGTAGAGTCAGGCACTGAAGCTCAGTTACTTCATGTGCCCAGAGACTCCAGTTACTGCAGCGTCAGGTGGTCTCTGCTGTTCTCGTGGGCTTCCTTTTAGACTTTCTGCTTCTTGGTCCCCAGCTGACTCCAATTATCATGTTTGCATTCAAAACAGAAAGAATGGAGAGGGGGAGAAAGGGTGGTGTTAGTCATGACTCCTCCTTTTATCAGATAAAGAAAAGCTTTCCCAGAAGTCCCGCCACCCCTGGCAGACCTCTGCTTACATCCCATTTGCCAGAGCTTGTCATATGGCTACCCCATCTGCAAGGGACCCTGAGAAGACCAGTATTTAAGGAGAAGGTCGTGGAACAATATTTTTTATTCTAAGGCTCACAGCAAAGCCAAGACTGCAGCTCAGGACTTCTGATTCCAATGTTAGGGCTATCTCCAACAGCCTGTCACCTTATGATAGAAACCTTTGTGCTGTCGCTCTGGTTGGATGAATCACAGGAAACCATCCCATCCTCCTACCAGTCAAGTCCAAGGCCAGCTGCTTCTGTCCTAGCTTGTCCTTTCTCATGTTTCAAGAGCCTGAAGCTTGCAGCCAGGCACCTCACCTTACAGGGGAACTGAGGTCACCAACTCAGAGTTTGGCCATTGATCACATTATGCCAAGTACCCTAAAGGGCAGCTGCTTTCCGACCTCTTCTGCAGGAACTTGGGATGGGTTTTCAACCTCCACTGCTTTCAAAGTGTACGTTTTCCCCAGAATTCCAGAACACATGCCAGGAAAGAACTTGGGCAAGCTGAGCTAGCAAGGTGGACAAAAGATGGAGAGAAGATGCCAAACAATTTTAGGCTTTTGTGTGTGTGTGTGTGTGTTGGATGGGGTACATTGTGGCATTTACAAAAGTTCTTACAGTATATCAAATACATCATACTTGAATTGAGCCCCTCCATCCCTCTACCATTCTCCTTTATCCTCCCCTCCCCCCATTCCTGGAATAGTTTCAAGGTCTCATTTTTCCATTTACATACACGTGTACCCAGTAATTGCACTGTATTCCTCCTACGCCCTTTCCCTACGTCCTCCCTCCTCCCACTGGTACCAACCCCTCCCACCCCTACCCAGGCAGGACCTGTTCCACACTCCTGTTCTCTGATTTTGTAAAAGAAAAAAAAATGACATTTTTGTTTGTTTACGATAGCTACACAGGGAGTTTCTAAGGCTCATTTCTCTGTTAGAGATGTGACCTTCCATCATTGCTGAGCAGTGAGACGTGTACAGAGCAGGCGAAGCGCTGCTCTAGCTCTTACTGTGCTCTCTGGAGATCAGTGATGGCTGACTGCCCCTTGGCTTTTACCACAGCCCCAGCGGTGTCCAGATGGCCATGGGCAGCCTAGGGGTGAGCCAGGGGAAGGGAGGGGGACTTGGAGGAGAAAGAAAAGAGGTCCCATCATCATACCTCGTCTCTCTGGCTAGGGGCTTTTCCAAAAGGGCTGAGGCATTCTGGGGATCCTCCATGTGCCCCTTTGTCCTGAGCCTCAGGGAGATGTCCCCATCAGACAAGGCTGTGGGGGTGGGGGCATCCCTTATGTTTGGGGCAGAGTGAGGTGAAGACATCCCTGGAGGAGCTCCTGATGGTCCGGCTCTGTGTTCCCTCACAGCACTTTTCCTCGTTGACAATCACCATGAGGTGTACCTCTGGCAGGGCTGGTGGCCCATGGAGAACAAGATCACTGGCTCCGCCCGCATCCGCTGGGCCTCGGACCGGAAGAGTGCCATGGAGACGGTCCTACAGTACTGCCGAGGTGAGGGCAGGGCAGACAGCTGGAGGGACCAGGGATTCCACCAGAGGCCAAGATCCATCCTTTCCCCCATGCATGCCCACCTTGGTGGTATAGCCTAGCAGATAGCGATGGGGCCGATCTCCACTTTCACCGTTGGAGGCTTATTTTAAGATCAGTACCTTCTCTGCTGTCGGCACAAATGAGAATTTTTCTCTTTCATATTATGAGGCCATCTAACTTGTTACCTAAGGTGTATGGAACACCCCAGACTGACTAAAACCCTGTTGCACTTGGGGCTCATCATGCTGTGAGTCACGTGAGCCTCACCATGGTGCCTCTCCATCAGAGAACGGCCCCACAAACTGGCCGAAAAGCTACTATCAACCTTTTCAGCATTCATTATTGTTTTAAGTATTATTTCAAAAAAGATCCATAGTAAGCTGGGCATAGTGGTACATACCTGTAATTCCAGCTACTCTAGGTAAGGATAGGAGGATTGCAGTTCCAGGTCAGCCCAGGCAAAATTATTGAGACCTTGTGTCAGACGCAAGCCAAGCATAATGGTACACACCTGTAATCTCAGCCACTTGGGAGGCAGAGAATCGAGGTCTGATGCCAGTAAGGCAAAAGCAGGAGAACCTATCTGAAAAACAAATAAAAGGCAAAAGGGACAGGTCAAGCACTTGAAGCCCTGAGCTCAGTCCCCAGCACCACCCAAACAGAAAAACTGAACCATAGAAAGTTCGTGTTTCCTTAGCTTACCATCCACCTGCAATGTGGTCTTTTATATAAAATTAAGATTCCAGTAACTCATGTCCTATTTGAATGTTTATGCTTTATTGATTGGCTTAATATCACTGAGTGTGCACAGTCAGTTCTCTTCTTGCAAGGCTCTTTTGTAGTAAATAGCTTTTTAAGCTTTCTACCAAATGCTACCGCTACAGAGCATGGGTCAGACACTGCTATTCTCTGCCCCTGCCTTAAGAAGTCCACGGAAAACCTGCGCAGTGAGTAAGAGGGCGGGATCATCCCTCCCAGAGCCACAGCTGGGCTCAGGGCCATTTCATTCCCTCGTTACAGTCACAGGCGTGACTCATATTTTACATAGACGCCATCCGTGCGTTGTTATGAGCCACTCATCTGCACTTTAAACATGAAATTGGAGGAAGGATTTCAAGGGAAACCAGGCAGAGACAGGGTCTTTGGGCCTAGTGACATTTGCCTCTGTGTGTAACTGCAGGAAAGAACCTCAAGAAGCCGCCCCCCAAGTCTTACCTTATCCACGCTGGTCTGGAGCCCCTGACATTCACCAACATGTTTCCCAGCTGGGAGCACAGAGAGGACATTGCTGAGATCACAGAAATGGTGAGTGGACACCTGCCTTCTGGACTGTGGGAGGACGTCTCCTGGGAGAGAGGCATCCACTTTCAAGGTGGGGACACACTGCCAGGAGTGGTGGTTCATGCCTGTAATCCTAGCACTCAGGAGGATCAAGAGTTTAAGGCCAGCTTTAGCTACGTAGAAAGACTCTGTCTCAAAAAAAAAAAAGGCAGGAATATACTTTTTTTTTCTTTGCAACAGATGAACAAGTGTACATAGAATTAGCTTAGGAAGGACTGAGAATGGCGGGTCTCTCCTATAAAACCAGCTACTCAGGAGGTGGAGATGGGAGGATTTCCATTTGAGGCCAGCCCTGGGAAAAACAGTTAGAGACTCTATTTCAAAAAACAAGCTGAGGACCAGGGTGCATGGCACAAGCGGTAGAGTGAAGAGTGACTGCCTAGCAAGTGTGAGGCCTTTAGTTTGGGCATTGTGGAATTACACTCGTAATCCCAGCCACACAGGAAACAAGAGGTAGGAGGATCTCACTCAGCCTGAGGCCAGCAAAAGCATGAGACCCTATCTGAAAGTGGTAGAGAACCTGCCTGGCAAGGACAAAGCCCTCAGTTCAAACTCCAGTACCACCAACCAAAAAAAACAGAAAAAGAAAGAAAAAAACTCAGGAAGAAGGGAAGCCTTGTGGGAAGTCAGTTGGGCTATTTTGGTAATTCCCTGCACATTGAACTCAGATTTTAAATACTTACTCGCCAAAGTGAATTTAATTACTTTGAGACTATCTACACATGCAAGCTGCTTTCTCTTCCTTCTGTTAGCCAAAGTCGTACTGCTTCTCACGGTGCATGGACGCACCAGCAAACCTTCACGTTCCAGATGTTAACCTTGCGCTAACACTCCTGACGCAGGACTGAGTCCCTTAACTAAGGGAATGAGTGCGAGTGACCCGCTCGTGGGGGGGTATTGCTTAAACTCAGAATTCTGTCTTGTATGTGACTTCAGGGTATTAATGAGGCATTCATCATAACTTCTACCTGCCAAAATATTGAGATCCAGAATTTGATTTTTTGGTTTTTGAGGGGCATTTTTGGCAGTACTGGGGTTTGAACTCAGGGCCAGGCACTTGCTAGGCAGGCACTCCTACCACTTGAGCTACACCCCCAGCTCCTCCAGACTTTTATTTACCAACAACACAGATGCTTAGTATAGCTGTGTAGAATTTATTAATTTAGGAGGAAATTTTGTAAGCAATAAAAATTCAAAGGGTTTTCTTTTTGGTTTGGTGGGAGATCAGGTTTTTTTCTAGTTTTATTTTGTGACTATGTAGGAGAAAGCTGTTTTTCTGAGAGAAATGACCTCAGTATATTTTATAGGGGGTGGCTCTTAAACATTCATTCCTCATCAGTCACCCAAAAGGAGGGCAGCCCATGTGGGAGCCAGATTCAGTAGAAGAAGATAATTTACCCAGATTAAATGCATGCAGTGGTGGTTTTACAAAAAGGAGGGAAGGAGAGAGAGAGGAAGGGAAGGAAGGAATGGAGGAAGAGAGGAAGGGAGGAAGGGACTTGATTTGTCACTAAACTGTTCTGAATGTATTTTCTTACGTGTGTGTGTGTGTGTGTGTGTGTGTGTGTGTGTTCCTTTAAGGTTAATTATTTTAAAATATGTTCAAATAGGCCAGGCACAGTGGAGCATACCTATAATCCCAGTTAAGCATGAAGCAGAAGTGGATCTTGGTTTGAGTCTAGTCTAAGCAAATCATGAGACCCTATCTGAAAAATAGACTAAAAGCAAAAGGGCTGAAGGCATGACTCAAGCAGTGGAGCTCTCGGCTAGCAAATGTGAGGACCTGAGTTCAATCCCCAGTACCAAAAAAAAGTTCAAATATATTTCATTATTTAGAAGTTGCTAGTGGTATTTCCTCTACATTCTCAGCCCTGTTCCCTCCCCAGTGATGAAGCTGTGAGCCCCTTCCCAGGCTGTGGTTCAGGTGGGTCAGGGCTGCGTGCTTTTAAGCCCTTGATCAAACGTTCTCAAATGTGGCCACACCAAGTTCTCCTGCTCCCTCCTCCTCTCTAGGACACAGAGGTTTCCAATCAGATCATCCTTGTGGAAGATGTGTTGGCCAAGCTCTGCAAAACCATCTATCCCCTGTCCGACCTCCTGGCCAGGCCACTCCCGGAAGGAGTTGACCCGCTAAAGCTTGAGATTTATCTGACTGACGAAGACTTTGAGGTGAGTGGTCTTGGGGTAGGTGGTAATTAAAACGCACCCCTAGTCCAAGCATCCTTTTACACAGCCACTGGGTGTTTCCTGCACTTCCTACAGTTTGCACTGGACATGACAAGGGATGAATACAGTGTACTACCCGCCTGGAAGCAAGTGAACCTGAAGAAGGCAAAGGGCCTGTTCTGAGTGCGAGAGATGCTGCAGGAACCAAAGTGGTCACTTTCAATACCACTGGACCAGAAAAGTGGATAATTTTTTGGACTGGTATTTAAAAAAAAAAGTATTTTTAAATCAGAGTTTTTCGAAATCTGACCTTATTAACTATACTGCTTATCCCTGAGTTGTGTATTTTGTAAAGGTTTAAGAGAACTCGTTGGAAACTTTCTTTCCACAATTCAGCAAAAGTATCTCTCTGTGCAGCCACCACACTACTGCCCTCTTGTTCCAGCTACCCAATGCCTTTTTTTTTTTGGAAGCAATTCTCTTGATAAAGTGTTATTTTGATAGTTTGTGGATTCTAAAATATATATATATATATATATATTTATATAGACACCATATAAATCAAATATGTATTTAACAAAGCAATATGTATTCATTCACTTTTACTTTTTCTTCTTTGGTGTCAAAATAATATTGCAAGGCAGATGGAGTTGCTTCTGTTAAATTAGGCCTGCCACAAGCTGTCTCTTTCACACCGTTCAGAAGCACTCCCATCAGTGTTCTGTCTGATTCGTTCTGAGCATTGCTTCCGGTGCTAAAATGAACAAAGAATTTGTACTTAACAACATGGACTCTGAAGAAGCTGTGCAAATCAACCTTCCCACCTTAATAATGTCCCCGGAAATGTATAGTGCCTTGTTTTTATGTACAGTTTATATACAGTAAAGTTTGTGCTGTGTTTTTTGATGATGGTTTGGAATATTCTCTACAGCTTTACTCTCAAATAGTAGAAATAAAGACATCTCAATTTCTAATACCCATTGTAAACATCACACCTGTCACTTTTGTGACATAGAACCTCAAAATAAAAGCTTTAGAATAATCACAACAATTAATTGACTGGTTTGCATTGAGTTCCAGCCATGTTTGTTTGTGGGAAAAGAATTTTTTATCATCATGAATCAAGTACCAATAATTAAATATTAACTGCTATAACTTTGGACTTCGTTTAGGGTAAGGTTTCATGCAAGGTCATCAAATAAATAGACAAATATGTGACCCATAAAATTAGTTCTGAGTACTATAGCAAAGACATAAATTTACAGGTCATCATTCATCAAAAGCTGTAGTTGTTACCTACATTTAATTTCCAGATCACAGTGCCTTTTTAAAAAATGAATGTATAAGGCATATAGAAAAGTTAAAATGCATTGGAAAATTCTTTATAAGCTTATATGTTCTTAAAATACCAAATCCAGGGCTGGCGATGTGATTCAGTAGTAGAGTGCTTGCCTACCATGAGTGAGGCCCTGGGTTCCATCCCCAGCACTGCCACAAAAAACAAAAACAAAAACACCCCATAGTTTTCAACATATTCTACAGATGTTCTATGAGTTGTTGCCACCCTTTCTCTTCTCTTTAGTCTAAGTTTGACATGTCTACCTGCAGAGTGTTAAGGAGAGACAGGATTGCCAGCATCTCCAGCAGTCTCAGGAAACCAGCTGGATTCTGACACACAAAGAATACATACTAGGGTTGTCCAGGAGAGTGGGTGGAAGGATAGGTAAATAGATGGATGGGTAAATGGATGGATGGATGGATGGATGGATGGATGGATGGATGGATGGATAATGGGTGGGTGGGCAGGCAGATGAATGGATGGATTGGTAAGAAGATGGATGGATGGATGGATGGATGGGTGGGTGGATGAGTGGGTGGATGCATGTATGGGTGGGTGGATGCATGTATGGGTGGATGGATGGATGGACAGATAGACAGATGGATGGATGGATAAATGAAAGGAAATTTATTAGGGGCTCAAGGGATTAGAGAGCTGAGAAGCCTTTCTGGCAGCTGGAGACCTAGAGAAACTGGCACATGACCAGCCAGGACCAGAGGCTTCAGAAACAGGGAAGTGTGGTACAACTCAGTCAGAGGTTGCAGACTGAGAACCTGGGGACCAGCGGTGCAGATCCTAGAGCGTAGAGGCCAAGGACCTGGGAACCAGGAGCTTCACTGACCGTACAACACGAGAATGTGTCCCTGCTCCAGGAGAAGCAGACCAACCCACCTTTCTCTGCTTTTGGTTTGTTTTTTTGTTTTGTTTTTTTCCACCATTTTTTAAAAATTGTTCTTAGCAAGTAGTAGTTGCTCAGGGCTCTGGTTTTAACTGGAGCCCCAGCAGACTGGATAATCCCTTGCACACTGAGGCAGCTTTCCCAGTCAGCCCATTGACTCACACACCAGTCTCTCTGGAAATGCCTTCACTGACACACCCATAAATAGTGTTTGGTTGTCTAGTTCTCCCTTGTCCTGTCAGGTTGACATCTAAACTTAACCGTCATAGAAAGTAATTAGGTGTTATGGGACGCTCGAAGGGAGACTCTGCTGTAATTAATAAATAAGACAGACATCATGAGAAATATTCATCAAAGCCACATTATCCAGAACTGCTTTAAAATCATGTCTCCACTTGTATTAAACACTGTCCCCCAACAATGAACTGTGAGTCTGTTTCGTGCCTCTGTGTGAAGAAGACGCAGTGTCCTGCATCGCCATCTGGCTTTTTGCCTCCTTCCTGCATCTCTTTCCTCTTCCAGAGAGAAAGCCTTTCTCCCAGGGCATTTTGGATCATTGTCCTTTTAGGATCTTTGCTTTATACTTTCAATCATCAAGGTGACTTAAAATACCTAATGCCATGTGACTGCTATGTAAATAGTTCTTACACTGTATCGTTTAGGGAATAGTGACCCAAAAAGTCTGTACACATCCAGTTCAGATGCAATTCTCTCTGAATATTTTCCCTCTGTGGTTTGGTTGAGTCTATGGATGTGAAATTTGTGGGTACCAAGAGCCAACTCTATATGGTTATGGCATTTGGCTGCAACACATACTTCCTACTTCTGAAAAATAAATGGATTGCATTGCACACACTTGCTCTTTCCCATTAGAGGAAGGAGATGAGGGCTGCTTCCGATCACCTCCAATCAATATGCCCCCAGGATTAGGTCAGAAAGATGGATGAAAACTGCCCTGGGCTTTCTGTTCCTGTGATCAGTACTATGACGTGCTGTGTGTGCTGAGTACGGAAGCATCCCACAGCATATAGTGCCGGTCCTTGATGGTTAAGGGAGAAGAACGGTAACAGAGCAGCTTCCCCAGTGTCTAGTAATGAACTGCTCCCCTCCTTAGCTTTTGCTAGCACACTGCTAAGATTGAAACCAGAGCTGTAGGACCTGAAATGAGTGCAATCATCAGTCATGAAAGGCAGCGTCCAAGACTCCTCAGCCTTGACAGTCCCTCACAGTCACATCAGTGTTGGGAAACACTCTTGACATCGGATGCCATGCATTTCTAGAAGTCTCTTAAGGGCTATCTTGGAACTGGCTAGTATTATCTAGAAATTGGCATAAATTGTTATTCAAGCTCACAGAATGGCTGAATCTGACTTTATTTATCTGTTATTTTAGCAACTGGCTAAAATAGTTGCAATTGGCTATGCTAGCTCCACGAAAGTAACAGCCACTGGACACGGTGCTTCATGCTTGTATAGAAGCAAAGAAAAATGAGATGGGGCAGGGGTGAGAGACAATGACTAGTACTTTTTAATGAGTGTGTTCTGTGTATGGAAAAAAGCAGTTGCATATGGAAAAAAAATGTATTTGGGAGCTCTAAAACTTGGCTGGTGTTAGAGCCCAAACTAGGAGGCGATGCTAAAATAGGTCCCTTCCCTCTCCATTCTCCCCTTCAGTGATTCCTTCCCGAAGGTAGCCATTCTAATTTTTAAGTCAGGAATCACGAAGAGCTAACATGGAACATGGTTTGCCAAGGATGACATTGAAGGTCCCAGTGGAAAAGGCTTTGTCCTGGTTTGGGGTAGGGTCTCTCCAAGGTTCAAGTTCAACCACTATGGCAGCCACACCATCTGCTGAAGTGTATTTCTAGTACCATGTGACACATTTCAGACCTGTCATGCTTTTCAGGGACTCATCCATGAGTCCATGTATATACTACTTGTTTGTCCAAGCATTTATCAGGTATGTGCTAAAGGTAAGACACAGAATACAAACATGGTTTCTACCTAGGCCAGACCCTAGATTCCCCCAAGGAACCTGTATTGCAGGGGAGAAGAAAATAATAATTCAACAAGAAGAATAAAAATACAATGACTTGTGCCCCTCCCTCCCCAAATGTTGGTGTCCTAACCCCCCCAGAACTTCACTTCATTTGGAGATCCTTTGATAATAACATGAGGTCATTACAGTGGGATTGATCCAAATAGGACAGTGTCCTTACATGAAGGAGAAATTTGGACACTGAGAGGCACACATAGAACAAAGTCCTATGTGGAGACACAGAGAGAAGGCTGCCATCTGGAAGGCAAGAGAGGCCTCAGAAGAAACCAACTCCACCAACACCTTGACTTTGGACTTCTGACCTCCCAAAACGTGAGGTGAAGTCTTAGCCTTTCTGTTGCTAAGACTTCCAGTTGGGGTACTTTGTTACAACAGCTCTAGGAAACCAATACAGCATCCAAAGGTAGGACTCGTGGCTGGAGGTGGTGGGGTGGGGGGCAGGAAGGAAACAGAGCAACTTCATCTGAATAGGCCTTGAAGAGATGGTGGGATTTCTTACTGCAGCTCAGGCATCAGCCCCACAGAGAGACCTGGAGGGGTGTAGGGGAAGACCGGGTGTGGAGGGTGCATGCCAAGTCTCCCAGATGTAGCAGGTAGAAGAAGGCCTCGTGGCCGAAGGGAAGGAACCAAAAAGGAGAATGGAGTTGGAAATAAACAGACCAGTTGGGCAGCCACAGATCTCTTCAAATACGAGGTTGATCTGGCAAAGCATCAGGCCTAGGATTCATTAGGCCAGGTAGGCAAGCATCCCTTTCTCACGGTGTAGCCAGGGCTCCTGGTGTCCTGTCACAAGCTTGTCTTACACCCTGAGCTAGTGTTTTATATTCGAATCATTAACAGAGTCAACACCATAAAACCTCTTTACTCTAGTATCCATAAGGATATCTTCAGAAATTTATTTCTGAAATCTCCTGCAAACAACACACCATAGTACCATTTTTATAGACATCCTGTGAAGACAAGAGCTGACCTTGAGGGCACATACCTGTATTCTGTTATAGCCTTGTGAGATACGTGAGGCCAAAGCAGGAGAATCACAAGTTTGAGGCCAGCTTGGGCTACATAATGGCTTCCAGGCCAGCCTGGGCTGCAAAATGACACCTGTCTCAAAAACAAAAACAAAAACATAAAAACAAAAAAGTAAATGAACAAAATATAAGAAATTATTCTGTTACATCGAAAATGTGAAGAATTTCTGAACCTTGTGCGTATATTTTTATTATTTAAAATAACAAATTTAAAATTTTTTGAAAATTTGGCCCCTCAAAAAAATTAAGCTAGATTGGACATGTTATTAAAAGACCAAGGCATACAAAATTTAAAGGACTCAGCTAAGACAACAGACCTAGGTGTGGCAGAGGCAGTCAAAGAGTTACACCCAGGCTTGGCGGTCCGCTCTCCATCTGTATCTGATTATTAGTGAATGATAGAGACACATCAAAGCCCATTATCATCTCTTCCTAATCTCAGGGAGGGACCAGAGGAAGAGAGATCCTCTCATTTCGCAAACCCTTGCAAGCTGACTGTGGATGTGGTTTATCCTTCTCAGGCTCATGAACCGGAAGCATGATTCCCAGTGTGGCTGTGTTGAGGAGGTGGGCCCTTTAAGAGGTGGAGCCTAGTGGAAGGTAATTAGGTCATGCGGTTTCACCCTCATGAATGGATTAAAGCTGTCTCCTGGGAGTGAATCCAGTCTGGTAGGAGAATGAACTGGCTTCTCTCCACTAGCTTCCTTCCTTGCTTGTGCTTGTGGATGGTTCACAGCAAGGTGCC